GAAAAGAGAGAGAAAAAAAAGGAGACAGAGAAAGAGAAAAAAAAGAGACAGATGTGCTGTACCTTTACACAAGTGAGTCTTTATAAACACCTAAAAATAATAAATAAATAAAAAGAGACAGAGAGAGAGAAGAAATAAAAAAAGAAAGAAGAGACAGAGAGAGAAAGAAAGAGAAAGAGAGAAGAGACAGAGAGGGAGAGAGAGATAAAAAGGAGACAGAAAGAGAAAGAGAAAGAAAAGAGACAGATATGCTGTCCCTTTAAACAGGTGAGTCTGTATACACACCTAAAAATAATAAATAAATAAAAAGAAAGAGAGACAGAGACAGAGAGAGAGAAGAGATAAATAAAAAGAAAGAAGAGACAGAGAGAGAGATAAACAGAAAGAAAGAGGAGACAGAGAGAGAGAGAAAGAAAAAGGAGACAGAGAAAGAGAGAGAGAGAGAGAAGAGACAAAGAGAAATAAAAAAGAAACAGAGAGAGAGAGAAGAGACAGAGGGGAGACAGACAAAAAAAAAAAAAAAAGAAAGAGACAGATATGCTGTACCCTGAAATATATAAGTATCTACAAACACCAAAAAATATAAAAATAATAAAATAAAAAAGAGACAGAGAGAGAAAGAAAAAATACAGATATAGAGACAGATGAGGGTTTAGGGTTTAGGGTTTATGGATACCATTAGGGTTTAGGGTTTAGGGTTTTAGAGTTTAGGGTTTAGGGTTTAGGGTTTATACCTGATCAATATGAAAGCGTTTAACTCTAGGGTTTAGGGTTTAGGGTTTAGGGTTTAGGGTTTAGGGTTTAGGGTTTAGGGTTTATACCTGATCAATATGAAAGTGTTTGAGTTGCTGCTGCTGCGGCAGCAGCAGCAGACAGCCAAAGGGAGAGGAGACAGCAGCAGCAAGCAAACCCTCGTAGCTGCGCAGCAGCAGCTGCAGCAGCAGGTGGTCTCCTAGGCTGCTGCTGCAGCTCACACCCCTCACCCCATCCATCCTGCTGCTGCTGCTGCTGCTGCTGCTGCTACTGCTGCTGGTGGTGGTTGTGGTGGGGGTGGTGGTCGTCGTGGTTCTGCTGCTGCTGCTGCTGCTGCTGGTGGTTCTGCTGCTGCTGCTGCTGCTTCTGCTGCTGCTGCTGCTGCTGCTGCTGCGATCGGTGATGCTGGTGGTGGTGGTGGTTTTGCTGCTGCTGCTGCTGCTGCTGCTGGTTCTGCTGCTGCTGCTGCTGCTGCTGCTGCTGCTGCGATCGGTGATGCTGCTGAGACTGATGCTGCTTCGATTGTTTGTGATGTTGCTGCTGCTGCTACTGGTGATGGTGTTGCTGCTGCTGCTGCTGCTGCTGCTGCTGCTGCTGCTGCTGCTGTTGCTGCTGCTGCTGCTGCTGCTGTTTCCGCTTGTGCCTTTGCTGCTGCTCTAAGAAGCTCGTCTCCGGTGTAGCGTAAACTCTGCTGCTGCTGCTGCTCCTGCTGCTGCTGCTGCTGCAGCAGCAGCAGCAGGTCTTGCTGCTCTCTAGCTTGTTGTTGCTGAGGAGCAGCAGCAGCAGCAGCAGCAGCAGCAGCAGCAGCAGCAGCAGCAGGAGCCACCGCAGCCGACTGGTGTGTGTGTGTGTGTGTACTTAATAAACCCCCCTATTTATAAATATATTTATTATCTACAATATAATAAAAATAAAAAACAAAAAAAAAATAAAAAAGTATAAACAAAAAGAAACACGAATCCTGCTGCAGCAGCTGTTGCTGCTCATCGAGGGCCCCCAGCAGCAGCAGCAGCAGCAGCAGCAGCAGCAGCAGCAGGAGGGGCCCCCAGTTATGGAGCCTTAAACCCTAAACCCTAAACCCTAAACCCTAAACCCTTAATATAATTAAAAAAAATAATTTAATTTATTTTTTTTTGGGGTTTATAAGAAAAAGAAACAAAAAAAATAAGCGTTTGCTGCTGCGGTGCCTCGAGCCTGGGGTGTACATACACCTCAGCTCTGTGTGTATATTCATTTATATAAATAAAATAAAATAAAATAATTTATTTTATAAATAAAATAAAAATACTGATGGTATTGTTTAATGAGTGTATACATGCACACAAACCATGCTTCTGCTGCAGCAACACCAGCAGCAGCAGCAGCAACACCAGCAGCAGCAGCAGCAGCAGCAGCAGCAGCAGCAGCAGCAAGAACAGGAGAGCAGCAACACGAACACCTGCAGCAACAGCAGCAGCAGCAGCAGCAGCAACAGCAGCTGTATGTCTCCCCCCCAAGCCAATAGATGGAGGAGTAACAGACCCCCCCCCCTCACAGCTAGCTGAGGGTTTAGGGTTTAGGGTTTAGGGTTCGGGGTTTAGGGTTTAGGGTTTAGTGTTGATGGGTCTCTGCTGTAGCTACTAAGGAGACAGTGGTACCAGCCTGCTCGATTAGGGTTTAGGGTTTAGGGTTTAGGGTTTCCTCTGTCTAGCCCCCAAATGCATGCAAGCATTGCAGCTGGCTGTGTTTAGGGTTTAGGGTTTAGGGTTTAGAGTTTAGGGTTTAGGGTTTAGAATTTAGGGTTTAGGGTTTAGCTGCGGTCTGGGTTTGTATCTTTTTGTATGAGGTTTAGGGTTTAGGGTTTAGGGTTTAGGGTTTTATAGATGGGTCTTAAGGTGTGTAATATATATATATATATA